AGATAAAATACCCTTTTTGATTAGATCATGAACCGACTGATGTTAGACCACCGTTTAAAACCTGGAAGCGCTGGACGGCCGTTTCGTCTTATTATGGGACTCCTCAGCTGTGCGCATCCACGATCCCGCTTGCGGGATTCGAACACAGGGCCGTCAGTCTCGCACGCGAATGCTTAACCTACAGGAATACTTTTTTGTTTAAGGATTTCATATTCAAATGCAAACAGATCATTAATAGCCATATGATGGAAATGAAATGACATAACAGTGTATATTTAATGTACTATATGTTAAGATTATTATGAATGTGACGTAATTTCAACTTTTGAATGATGTACCAATAAAAATACAGATATACAACTAGTGAATTCTTCAATCACTTTTAAATTAAGCTTATCTTGCAGGGAGCATATTCACACTAATTTATATCCTATTTGTTATATTTGTGAGTTTCTTCATTTCGGTTAATTCCAGTTGAAGAAGAAATTAGGAAAAGATGATAATGGTAGATAGTAGGTATATTGAGATCACCAAACTGCATTGTAAGGCAAGCGTTAACTTGGAATCCTGAGGGGAAACGGGAAAGAGGAAGACCGAAAAAACAGACTTTGTCGGGAATCGGAAGTAGGCATGAAGAGCAATTGGATTGATCAGGACATAGTTGGATGGAGAATGCTGGTGGGTGGCCTATGCTTCTCCACTAGAGGTAACATTTGAAAGTAAGGAATCAAGTTATTTCACTAAAGCGAACTCAAATACTTTTATTATTTTCTATTCTAGTATCAATCTTTAAATTTCTTGAGTAATAGACGTATAAAAATTCGCATAGTTTAAGTCACAAATTAATCATATCTTGAGAACCATCGAAAACATGGAGGCACTAGATAGCCATTTGATTCTAGTATAAGACTGATCGATAACCACAGTCACGTATCCCTAACCTATGGGCCACTGAACTGGCATCCAGTTATGTGCATATCTAACTTCAATCAGTTCATCATATTACTCAACCCTCATCCATTGCCTATGGTGCAAGTCTGTCTCCCACCTGGTATGACTGAACTCCTATGGTCATAGTTTCAATCTAGAACTCCAAAAGTTACTTCTTGAAGCTCATCACTAATAAGCATATGATTAACATCACTATAGAGGATTTGTAAATACAGTACAATTCCTATAGCCTAAATCACGAAATGACTTTAGACAGATTTATTAACATCCTGTTTTGACTCTGTAATATTTTGATAGAATGTCTAGGAAATGTGTTGTTGTTGTTGGTGGTGGTGTTTCTAACTTTGCTAAGGAAAAACTTAGCAGTTAAACTGTACAGGTTGAATGCATGATAGTAGAGACTGATCAGTAAGAGTTAGTAATATCAACAAGGAGTAAATACAGACCGTTACAAATGAAATTCATATTTGTTGAATAAGGTAGCGGTCATCTGAACTCAGTAGGTCAGTGGATAACGTGTTGACGTTTGAAACAATAGGTACTAGGTCTTAATCTCAATATGGACATCACTATTAAGATGTGATGTGTACCTCTTGTTGATAAGTCCCAGATAGAGCAAACCGCGCGTCAATAAATATACTATAACAGTAAATATTTATGCTTATGAATGCCTTGTATAATTGATTATGTTTTTCATAATTTTACAACTATGGTTTAATACAAATCTTGGCAAACATGGTTAACTTAATTTTAATGGGATGTGGTTAGTGTTGTATTTTATAGCTACGTTTGCTATTAGTACTGTAGTGAACGATAACACAAGTGGAGACAATCGAATGCAATTTCATCTTTTAGTAGAATCAGAGAAACATACAGTAAATATGTCATTTGCTAAATATCAATCAACTGTCCAAAATTTGACATTTTCTCCTGTAAAATCGTCTCAGACTTCATTATTGTTTCATTTTCACACCAATCATTCTCTATTCTTGTTTTTTCCCTTCGATCTTCTTAACCTTTTGTCTTCGGGCATTTCACTTTCAATTGATGATACATACACAATTTCATCTAATAATCACATTTCTAGTCTTTTAGAGACTGGATTTATCTACTTTCCATTTGTAAAATACATTGTTGTTTTAAACAAGAGTTTCAGAAATAATTAATCCTAATTCAATGAACAATGATCTTTTAACTAATGATTCGCTCATTACTATTATTATTAATGACTTTATTTAGTATTATATCTGTAGTACAATACAGAATTCTCAGCACTAAGTATTTCAACAAGTTTCCCTTTCTTATTTCTTGATCGATATTCAAGATAAATATTGAGTGATTGCCAGTTAGATGTTATTAATTCAGGAATCGATATCTGAATGATGTTCATTGTTTTCAATGCATATTGCCAGCCATCACAATGTTTCTGATTGTAATTTTTTATAAGTTGTACAGCAAAAGACCGTAAATGTTTCATAAACACGCCTGAATAGGTTATGCGATTCATAGACTTAATGATGTGTTAAAACAAATAAAGAAAAACAGATAAATTGTTGGAATATCTAAATGACAAGAATAGGTAGCCCATATATTCAAGCAAACCTCCAATAAATAGTTATATACAATTTTTATTGATAACTTTTTTATTAGTCATGGAAGCTTTCATCAAAAGCTATCATTGTGGTGCGTGCTATTTATATTGATATAAATAGTATATGACGCGAGTCAAGAATGTAATGTATGGAAGCAGAAGATGGGGGAAGATCAAGAAAGGAAGAGCGGGAATAGGAAGCAATTGGTATGGAAATGCAAGAACAATGAAGTTCGAGACAATTATTGAACATTTTGCAAATGAGGTATTATAGTATGATTTTTCTATTTTACCAAGTAACTCTGTATTGTTGTACTAAATATAATTCGGTTGTCCTCACTGTGTTCTCCTTTACTACTACATTTGCCAAAAAAAATCTTAAGACGTAGGAGTACTGTACAATGAATTCATCTTCATTTGATATTCCCTGATCAATGAATATTTACAATGACAATACTAAATGGATCATTTACAATATGACACAATTGTTATCAATGGCATTAATGCACAAGTTTTATACGACAAGTCTAAATCGTTATGAAGTCTATTCTGAGGTTTGTATTAGAAATAAATTTGTTTTTCTTCAGGTCTCAGCCTACTATGATATGGATTTGTACATCAAATCTAATGTACTATATTTATATCTTATGACCTAAAGGATATCTATATATACATATACATATATAGTTTAATATATTCATTGTAGTATATCAAATATAAAGGAGAAATATAGGGTATTTACAAGGTATTTCTTCGTCATTAGTTTCTTCCACATGTCGTGTATTGATATTCTCTTTTCTATTAAAATAACTTTTGTGGATTATAGTTGTGGTTTAACTGAATGTATGTATGTCAGGTATTTTGTGTTAAGATAATTTTGAAATGAAAGGGTTCTTTAAAATGATGTACAATACTCAGTATGGAGTTGTGATGATGGTTGAATTTCTTTCCAACCTGAAAATAGAGATATGTAAGTCACTAATTGATTATGTCATGAAAAACCAGTCATCACAAGACAGCTGTTTCTTCAAAACTAAAACTGTTTGACAATGTGCGTTCACGACTCAGCTAAAAGCCAAAGCCGGGTCCCATGGGTATAACAGGAAGCTCTCTACACTCAGACCTCTGGTTTAGCACCTAATGTCTTATACTTCCAACATTAATGAACTTCTAGTATTGCGTCTTCACTGTTCATTAATACTAGTAATACTTGTAACACTGGGGGAAATGATTGAATTTCACTTGAAGGAGGTCTTATCACATATGTGATTAATTTACTTTTGTCTGGGAATTAAATGTGACATTCTAACGTGGTCATGTCATCTCCAACCGTGTCAACTCTATCAAGTTCGATTGCTTTTTGTGTGTCAGTTATTTATATTATCGTAAATTATAGATAATTCATACAATATCCATCTTATATAAAGATTTACTCATTAATTACTCATTCAGTAAACAAATTCACCTTCTCTTATTATCTATGTACCTACGGATGAATTAGATTTGTTTTGTTCTGTTATTCATTAACCTGATTAAAGCGATAAGTATATACAAAATGATACGTGGTAATAATATTTCATTAGCATTAATATCGTTTGTGTATTATGAAGAGTTTGATCATGGACACTAGAAACTATTCATAGCTCTTCTCACTAACATTCCATGAATCATTTGTTAAAATTGATCACTACTATGTACATTATAATTTACACTCTAAGTTTGTATGTAAATTTCATAAATTTTCACTTAATAATTTTTATTCTATGGGGCGGAAACCTGGAGAACTACGAAAGCCATCATACAGAAGACACAAGTGTTTATTAACAGTTGTCTACACAAAATACTTCAGATCCGTTGACCAGACACCGTCAGCAACAACCTACTGTGGGAGAGAACAAACCAGAACCCAGCGGAGAAAGAAATTAGGAAGAAGCGCTGGAAGTGGATAGGACACACATTGAGAAAAGCACCAAACTGCGTCACAAGACAAGCCCTCACATGGAATCCTCAAGGCCAAAGGAAAAGAGGAAGACCAAAGAACACATTACGCCGGGAAATGGAAATAGACATGAGAAAAATGAACAAGAATTGAATGGAATTAGAAAGGAAGGCCCAGGACAGAATGGATTGTAGAATGCTTGTCGGCGGCCTATGATCCATTGGGAGTAACAGGCGTAAGTAAGTAAGTAAGCAAATTTTACTCTAAAAACCATCATTTTATCATTGTTTAATCACTTGAGTGTTGATCAATATGATGTACGATCAGGTACTTCTTCAAGTGCGAATTGAATCCTATCAACCTAGTGACTACTTTTAATCACTATGTTAAACCATCCTTATTTTATTTACCTTTATATTAATCATTATTATATCTATAACTATTTAGGCAGTATAGTGGATGAAACATAAACAAAATGGGGAGAAAAGAATTGCAATTCAGTGTGTAGAATGAAGATAGTTATATATATTACTTTAAATTTTATTATAGATATAGTGTATATATGTATATATCCTGTCCAAAAATAAGATAACCCCCTGTTTAATTAATTAATTAACTTTTAAATATATTTAGTAGTATGTTAATTAATTAATTGTTCATGACATTATGTTCATTGTTATTTAATAATTCTGTCACTGATTCACACATTATAATGAATACTTCGTTTCCAGCCAAGATCATCACGTTTCAATCGATATGGTCTATGTAATGAATTCTTAGACCATACATTAGGTAATACTGATCTAGATGATGAATGAAATATAGATGATGTTGGTAATAATGATGCTGTTGATTCTGCAGATGATGATAATGATGATGATGTTGATGATAATGGTGAAGTAGGGATATTCTGTTGCATTGTTGATTGTTTCAATAAATTCTCTGTAATTTTCTTAATGAGATTATTTGAAATTATTCTTTCTTGATGTTCATGTTGATTTTCATCACGTTGATTATGTTGTATATTTTCAGTATTTAACCATTGTCTATGATCTTTAGTCGGTTGAAATAATCGATCATTAATATGTTGATGATTTTTGAAAGTTATATGATCCTCATTATTACTATTATCATTGTCATCATTTATTTCATTGAATGTTAAATCATCTTCAATATTTTCATAAAGTGTAGGATATAACAGATCGTTCGGATGAATATAATGTTCACCATACTCTATAATTATGTTATAAGTAAACATAATATTAATCTAAAGTATTCACTGTATAAAAATACAATTAATATAATTTAAATATGGTCATTAAAGTTACAATTATATTCACAGTTGTATGAAAATTGTAAATTGTTTCAGTGTTTAGGGTCGAAACATCATACATATCGTTTCTCACTGTTTATATGATGAAATATCAGTGCATATGGATGATGGATAGGTTTTTTGTAGCTGAATGGACCAAACCATTCAGTTCAGAGCGCAAAACTTCATCAAAATCATCCACCTGAGCTACAAATCTTCTCCAAAATCTTAGGATATTTATAGGCTCTTTACTAAATATCTTATCAATCCACTTAATCTAGAACTTAACATCCTATAAAATGATTATTTTAGTTATAACTTGGTGATGATTCAACTGTAAGAAAATGAATTGGATCTAGATAAATTATTATTAGATATCAAAACTTTTCATTAACAACCTTCAAGAAGTAACAAAAACACGATAACTATTCTTTTAATAAATGTTTTCAAAACAATGGATGTTAACTCCTGGACTTTTCCAGTTGCGTAATCAAGATTTCATGAATATACATTATTACCATATTACATATGGTTCAATCAGATTCAGCTTCATTTTGTTTATTGCGTTAACAAAGTTGCGAATTAATCTGTTGTTTTTTAAAACTAATTTTTTCTCGTGAATGCCTTACTATTTGTTTCGTTCTAGTGTGAGGCTCCTCAGCAGTGAGCATCCACAGTCCTACCCCACGGGATTCGAACTGAGGGCCTATAAGTCACGCACGCGAACACTTAATCTCTAAACCACTGAGTCGGCATTCAACGGTGTCTAGTGCTTTCAAATTTTCCATGGTGGTCTAGCTTCAATTGACTCATGAACTTAATTAATGAATCATTGTAATATCCACGAAACACTTTTCTGTACTTAATACTTTAGTTCAATCTATGATACCATTATAAGTTACGACGTGCAAAATGTTTTACAGAATTAGATTTGTTCTAGACTAACTTTATCCGCTGAATAGACAAGTTAACTTGTCAAACTGAAAGTCGACTAAGTTTCGTTCAGTGAAATTAAACTTGTTCAATAAGCATTATTTTTATATCTTCATCTATTTGAACGATTTTATGTTGGAAGTATCAGAAAGAAACTCCAGTTGTACGTGAATTTCTGAGATAATTTCAATGCATAATTCATGTGTTTTTTAGGTATAGCATATGTTAATAAGGAGATAGTTTATCACAAAACACTACTGCTTATCGAACAATCCTTTTGTTAATTTATATATTTAAATATAATGTAACTGAAGTCTCAATATGCGTAAAGGGTAAAGTAAGATTCTCTGATATGACACAACATGAACCAATCAAATCACATTTGACGGAGAAGCTTTAGAGAGTGTAAAATCCTTCACATATTTAGGAAGCATTATTGATTGACACGGTGGATCTGATACAGATATGTAGATGAGAATCGACGAAGCAAGAGCAGTATATCTACCACTGATGAACATCTGGAACTCAAAACAAATGTCAACAAACGCCAAAACCAGAATTTTCAATACAAATGTCAAAACAGTTCTACTGTATGTGGAGGAAATCAGGAGAACTACGAAAGCCATCATACAGAAGACACAAGTGTTTATTAACAGTTGTCTACACAAAATACTTCAGATCCGTTGACCAGACACCGTCAGCAACAACCTACTGTGGGAGAGAACAAACCAGAACCCAGCGGAGAAAGAAATTAGGAAGAAGCGCTGGAAGTGGATAGGACACACATTGAGAAAAGCACCAAACTGCGTCACAAGACAAGCCCTCACATGGAATCCTCAAGGCCAAAGGAAAAGAGGAAGACCAAAGGACACAATGCTTCGAGAATTGGAGACAGAAATTAGAAAAATGAACGAAAATTGGGTAGAACTGGAAAGAAATGCGGAGGACAGAGTGGGTTGGAGAATGGTGGTCGGTGGCCTATGCTCGATTGGGGTTAACAGGCGTAAGTAAGTAAGCAAATCAAGCATCAGTGAATAGTTATATGTTCCCAATAATTGACTTGAATTATACTAAGTTTTAAAATTTACTGAGTTCTGTGAGTACACGCTGTCTGCAGATAACTTCCATAGAAAATATATACTTTACATATTTATCCGGCTACATAATCAAATAAAAGGTTACATAATTCTGGATGTATTTAATACTTTGCTAAAACGAATATGAATATAGATGAACAGATTAATTTTCAATTCAAAAATACAATATCTTATTATAGTAAACAATTTTTTATAGTCATAAATTCTCTAGAGTCACAAGAAGAAATTGATAGTGGCTAGCAGTGGAATCCAAGACCAATGTTTCATCTTATTTATAACTTATCAGGTGGATTTGCTTGTATCCAAAAATTGATGCTTATAATGCTTGTGACTTAAGACACTATCGAAGCAGTCTACACAGGATGTGCATTTATCAATAAGAGATTGACCAATCACAGTCCTAATATCAAATGGCATAAATTTACAGGTTTTATCATCCATGTATTATCTAAATTTCGAAATACATTTCACTGATGGATTAGTGATCAGGCTTATTTCAACTGTAATTTAATTAGTTGGAACTTTAAAAGATACCAGTTAAACGCATACTGTTCCACAGTAAATATAAATAAGATTATATAAGCGATAGTTAGATTTTCGCTGATGGTATTAAAATTTCGTATTACTAGCAAGGTTCTAAGGCGTTAGAGCGATTAACAACAAATATCAGTCCCATTCAGAACACTTGGAATTTGATTAGTACAATTGACAAGATTACAATGGGTAAAATCATATGTCTTGGATATCATTATCCGGTACTATTCACAATGAAAGAAAAAAAACAAATCGAATAATACATACTACATCCAAGAGAATTCTGAATACCAGTGAATGTAAACTTTGACTCAAAATAATCTGAGAATTGATAATATAAATGATAGATGGATTATGTTAGATTAAGCTTTAACTAAAAATCAACAGAATAACTTAAAACCTTTTATTTTTCTTTTTACTACAACACATTTTAAGAAATAGTCGTTCAACATAAATTATAGTACGTTTCTTTAACTTATCTTTTTCCCTCCTCTCCCTCCCTCTTTCTCTCTCTGTCTCTGATAAAATCTCTTTTAATTAAAACACAAATAATAACCATGTATAATTAAGTAGATTGAAAAAAGAAGAGAACAAAAAACAAAAAATTGGGAACAATTTACCTGTGGATTTACTGTGAATTTCATTGCGTATTACACCAGATAGGATAATAGTATTTGTTATAAATATAAGATATAATTTAGGCAAATATAGCCTCATAATCTAAAATATAACTGAAAAAATATGTATATATATATATATATATATATATATATATATATATATATATATAGAGAGAGAGAGAGAGAGAGAGGGAAAGAATTTTATAAGATAACGACAAGTTTGAAATGGTATCAAGTTCCGTTTTTTTTTCGTTTTTTTGGATCATATGCTTGAACCAATTTATAAAATAGAAAATTCTTATCAATGAGCATTTATAATCATGTCAGAGATACTAATTAGGGAATCGAACTCATATATAGTCGTTGTCATGGTATTTTATATTTGTAATATAATTTGACATTGTCAGGTATAGTGTTTAGTAAAAACGAAACTATCATTACAGTTATCCAGTCTGCACACAGGGGGTTATTAGCATTGTTCAGTCGGGAAGCTACACGTAGAGATTCTAGAATATTCTTCCAAAAGATGATTGGATGGAATACCTTCGGCTCTTTCTGAGCCTCTTAAAGCTTCCTTGGGTTCCCCCACGGACCGTCCTCACGATATTTGAATTTAGTCATTGATATTTTTCATTCTTGTTATTGATCTATTCATACTTTTATATTGTTCTACGATTATTCATAGAATACTTGTTGTGAGGTGCTTGATACTGATGTCGATAGACATAAGTAGTATGTAACATCAGTCGAAAGTGAAATGCTTGGGGACGGAAGTTTAAGAAGATCAAAGAAAAGAGAATGAGAACAAAGAGTGATTGATGTGGAAATGAAAGTACAGTGAAGTTTGAGACGATTGAATGACATCGTACTAAGATGTTCTGTCATTTCACGTTGAATTACATTCGATTGTTGACTTTAATGGGTCTTGTAACGGTGATGACAAGGTGGAACTCTACTCTCAGGTTTTTGACCATGAAAAAGCTTAAACTAATCTATTAGAAGCAAACATTTCATAGTTAAAATAATCCATACAATCGATTATATTGAAGTGTCCTAATCTGGGCGCATGTATTCTTTAGGTACCATTTATAGGATAATTAACTAACACTAATAGCGTTGTATTGAAGCGTACTTCTTTCTGAGGAATATTATTTGAAGGTGATCGACAATAAATGTTTTTCTCTGAGGAGGTTTCTTTAAATTATGTGTTAATTGCTAACTGTCTGAGAGTTTCAATTTATATTATCTGGTTTTAAATGAGCTTTTCTGTAGCTGATCATCTTTGTTTTTGAAAATTTTGTTGACTTATTAGGGTCTAAACATATAGTGAAAGGTTCTGGATTTGAGCTTCATTGTGAAAAACAACATGGTAATGCACATATGTTCAGCTACTAAATCTTAAATACGATGAAATCTTTATCTTGTGTCCCACTCTATGCCATAATCTATCTGTTCTAATAAAATGATGGTCAAATGTTTATTATCGAAGCGATCCACAAAGACTTTACTTAAGCCAACATAGACGGATCCATATTTGATGGTGAATATACAAAATAGGGTGATTCAAGCCATTATTAATAATGATATCCGGGTATAAATGTTGGAATATTGTTTACTAATTTATTTGTTGTTAAACAAATAACTTTAATTTTCAGTATGGAGATTGTTGAATTTCAATAAAATCGACGTTCAGCACTTTCAGTTTTCTAATAGTGGTTTGACTTATATCAATATATGATTTCAGTGAAACAATGTTAAAATATTCGATAAGTTTTGATTAAAATTTTGAACCAAATGATAAATGTATGTCTGTGCAATTTCGTGGATTGGTTGAAGTTAGATATTAGCACCATTGGATGCCGGCTCAGTGGTCTAAGATTAAGCGTTTGCACACGAGAGTGGTAGGTCCTAGGTTCGAATCTTGCAAGGTGGGATCAAGGGTGCACACTGCTGAGGAGTCACATACCGTGATGAAACTGCCTTTCAGTGCTTGCAGGTTTTCCATGGTGGCCAACCTTCAATTGACTTATGAATTCAATTATTAGGTAAGTGTTATATTTAAAAATTCAAAAAAATACAATTCGTTATTTGTATGTTATTGTGTTAAGTGAACCGATTCTTGCCTAGAAGGATTGTAAAATATTTTATTGAACCAGAAGAATGTTTTCTAAGTTAAGATAATTGATGAAACGATTCCTGTGGAGATATATTTGTGATGATAATAGACTATTTCACTTTTTTTTATGTATAATGAACACTACAAATTATGATTATAATTACAGATGCATTCCAAATATGACAACAGAACATAAACAACACTTTGTTTCAGTGATTATATTTATTCATTGAAGAGCATATATCAGTTTGTAGATAATTGTATTCTAATTCGAAATTTTTTTTCATCAATCATTTATTAAAATTTGAGAACTTATTCATTAATTGAACTATTAAATTGCTATAATCTCCACGAAACCCCTCTCTCATTATAATCATCATATGCTCACTGGTGACGGTCTCCAAGAGGTATTTCCTGGAGTTCTAGTGGGAAGTTGTGAACAGTGAAGTTCAACCGTGTCTGCTGTGAGGTATTAACTCACTGATGAAAATGGTGGATGTGTCGTTCAGTTTCGTGGATTAGTTGACGTTAGACATTAACACTGCTGGATGCCGACTCAGTGGTTTAGAGATTGAGTGTTCGAGGGCCAGGTCGAAGGTCCTGGGTTCGAATACAGCGTGTTGGTGAGTTTGCACTTCTGAGGAGTTCCATACTAAGACGAAAGGTCTTCCAGTGTTTCCAGGATTCCCATAGTAAGTCTGTCTTTAATCGATAGGTGAATTCAATTAAGAAATTATTTAAAAACAACAAAAAGCACTGAACACTTGTTTCATCTGTTGTGAGTCTTTATATCATTGCTTGTACTCAAACCATATTATTTCGAATAGGTTACGTTGATATTGGACTATTTCATCGTTACCTTTGGATTTTAATTAATAGCTTCAGTGAATTCATGATATTTTGTAACGATCATACAGAAAGTTCTTCGGTCCTTCTGTAATGATTCCATTATTATTTACCACTGTGAATTATTGAAGTAAAAGGAGGTGATCATCTTAGAGTTACAGGATTTTAAAAATCAATTTCTTAGTTATAGGGATCAATGTCTTTTCTTGTGAATTTTGAGTTACTTAGTTTACATGTTAGAAGAATGAACTGAATTATTCAGTCAAGATTTATAGATTCATACTCATTTTTATAATTCAATAAGACAGAAGTTTACAGTATTTTTAACATATGAGAATCACTCAATAAGTTTTACAAGGCTGACCGACTATTATCTCTAAAATAAAATGTATAAAATGAAGACTCAGTGTCATCTTTAATAGATTTAATTTAACGGGCGGAAATCTGTATTTCTGTAAGTGTATTCATTTACCTAATAAAATAAATGACATATAAGTGATGTCATATGAACTAGTTACGTATTCTACAAACCATTCAACCTCATGGACCATTTTATGTTCATAAACTCTAACGTCTATAAATTATATTAATAGACTTCTATGGGAAAAATCTATAGAAAACACTGAAAAACTTTAGTGTACAGAAGAAATGATCAGCTACAACGATTGGCTACATTCTAGCTTGATTAGTAAAGTTCGTTAATAATTTGAAGAACTAGACAAATACTACATTGATCACTACTCAACAGTAGCATTGTATTTTATGTAACAGTATAATGTATGCTCGCATTCCATAGAAAACATCGATCTCGCCAGAAATGGGTTATTGCAGTCACGATACTGTTTTCTTTAAAACTTAGTGACATTTCATTAAAAATCAAAGTTATTATCCCGAGCAGCGGTCAGATCACTTTCAGAATGTACAATAGATTTCAATAAGTACAATGAATTTATTTTAAATTAGTCAGCCCTTATTTATAATTGTAAGTATATATGAACTAATATATCATGCTGATACTGTGGTGTGTGGTGCTTATATCAACATAAGTAGTTTAAAACGCTAATCAGAAATAGAATATCTGGAAGCAGAAGGTCAAGAAAATCGAGTAGGAAAGAAGAGGAACCAAAAGCAATTGGTATGTAAATACAGCAACAATGAATTCTGAGGTAATTGACTCATATTTACAAAAAGAGCAGTGAAGTTTGAGACAAATGATTGACATTTTGCAAATGATGTATTCACTCCATAATTCTTAGATTTCATGAAGATGTTCTGTAATCTTATGTTGCAGTACATTCCATTCTTCACATTTATATTCTCATTTACTACAGTATTAACAAAATTTGGACACATCTATGTTAGCGTACCGATCTAATATTACCGTCATGAAATTTATTATAACTGAAACAATCATAGTGACAAACTTATATAATAAAACTTTCTTTTTATAATTAATAAATCTGGCTAAATTAATAATAATAATAATAATAATAACAAGGGACTTGGCAGTTTCTCCATCAAATTGCTTCCGATCTATGAACTAATCATTCTCATTATTCATAACGTGTAAATACTTCATATTATATTCATGATGAATAATAAAATAACGGTAATGATTATGTAAATGTCCTAGTGGTTAAATATCTATGTACGGAATAATGTAAAAAAAAGCGAAACATTTGTGACTTAAATGTCAATATATTTTCAGTAATGTCATCTTCTAACTGTCTTCTGTTTTATTCACTTCAAAACGATCATTGTACTTAACCATGGTTTTCTTTTAACCGTTACGTAAAACCTTAGTGAACTGTTTAGGTTGTCTATGACTAGTACACAACCTTTTGTATCTAATGCCGAATTCTAAACAATTACTGTCTCATCGTCTTTATGCTATCTAATATTAATTTTGAAATAGACTAATATATATATATATATATATATATATATATATATATATATATATATATATATATATATATATATATATATATAATACTAATTATCCATATCATTTCAAACTTAAGCAGATTATAAAAGCACAGAGAATACAAAGGACTTTATATTTATTTCGTATTGATTACCGTTTTCGCTTGATTTAAATAAGTGAAAGGCATTGTGGTGTATGCTACTTATGTCTA